GCCTTACCTTTGGCCTTCTTTAGCCATGCATTTCGCTTTGCATTTAGCCTTGCCCTTAGCTTTGCCTTTAGCTCTGGGCGTGTCTGGCGAAGGTCTACTATCTGGCTCAGAAATTGCTCCATCGTTTGAATCGTTTGCAATCGTTCGCAGCCAAGCGGGCGTCCCAACCAAGATGGTGTCCTTCGCGGATGGATGCCCAAATTTGCTCATCATGAATTTCACTGTGGACGCACCGCAAGTGGAAATCCCACCAGCCCATTGGGCGTGACTAGGCGCTTTAGACATCTTCCAACATTTGCTATCTCTCCCTCTCTCTGTCTTTATTTCTCTCTCTCTCTCTCTCTCTCTCTCTCTCTCTCTCTCTCTTCTCTCTGATCTCTCTCTCTCTCTCTCTCTCTCTCTCTCTCTCTCTCTCTCTCTCTCTCTCTCTCTCTCTCTCTCTCTCTCTCTCTCTCTCTCTCTCTCTCTCTCTCTCTCTCTCAAGGCATCCCTCCCAGGACTTCGACGCAGCGGGGCTGCCTTCATTCGCATAGGCATCGTCTCTCTGGATGATGCAGTAGGTATACGCGAAGCGCCCAATAGCAGTCTTCATGTCAGCCGTCCTGAAGAATAAGCTGGAGCCCGGCTGTTCCACGACCCAATGAACACCACATAAATGAGCGACGATCGATAAGATAGCGCATCGATGATTCAGCGCATTACCCTCTGCTACGAACTTACGCGACGAATCGCCCATCGGCCTCTCACGTGAACGCTTCGATTGCGATCGGCTCATCCAGACCCATGAGGAACACTGACAAGCAAAAAACACAAGACCACCGCTGACGACCCGGAGGATACACAAGATAGCCAGAGCAAATCCCTTGTCGGTATTGATGTCCATATGATCGCCGTATTCCACATCGATTGCTGCGCGCTGCAGACCTGCCGTCAAAGCCCATTTCGTAATCCGCGCCCTACCGGCGCAAACGTCAACGAAGTCCAAGTTCCTGATGACTACTAAAGGGCGCTCATTGCAACCAATGATTTGTTGAATGCGACCAGGAATATGAAATAGGATATTCATCGGTACTGTCCAGATGTGATTCTTCCATGCAGGGTGCAGAGCCAACGTTGGCATAATACTCCACAGCGCGTAGCTGGCGGTCTCGGACCTAAGGGGGCACTTGGGGCACTAAATTAGCATTCGCATGGCAAAGCATTGCCGCGACAAGCAGCGCATCTTCCCATTGCATGGCATACCATAGCACGCCGGAAGACAACTTGCGATTCAAATGTGACGCCTCCAAAATTCTCCTCGTGCTCACCCTCCTCATCCTCATCCCCCCCTCTTCCTGCCCAGCATCTCCTTGTCCTCCTCATCGCCCTCATCTTCCCGAAGGCGTCGCTTCCCCGGGGGAGGAGGGGGGGGGGGGCTCGGAGGGAGAGAGAGGATGAGACGAGGGGAAGCAGGAGTCGGAGGACGACGATGGGGAGAAGGAGAGGGAGGCGGAGAAGTAGGACTCGGAGGGAGAAGGAGGAGGGGGAGGAGGAGGAAGAGGAGGAGGAGGAGGGGGATGGGGGGGAGAAGGAAGGGAGGGAGGAGGAGGGGGGAGGAGGGGGAGGATAAGGGCGAGGAGGAGAAGGAGGAGGAGGGAGGGGGGATTACAACAAGGACATGAGCAGTAGTTCCCCTTGAAGCTCCCAGAGACGTGAGATGGGCACTGCGACGCCTCAGCTCCTCGAGAGGCATGTCGGGGAAGCCAGGGTCCACAATTGTTTCCCCCCAGGCGCCATCTGCCCCAGGGCACAGCGCGCGCAGCGCGCAGAAAAAGCAGACACGGACAGCCATACTTGGGGGTGAAGCGGCTGCGAAATGGCGGTGGCGGTGGCAGTGCCGATGTTGCTACCGATGGCGACGACGCCTCCCGACGATGATGCTGGTGGCGGTGATGGCGACGACGATGATGTTAATGGTGGCGATGGCAACGAGATCAGTAGAAGCCCACCGTGACCCCCTGGGGACTACTATATTGCAGGCTGTAAAAGAGCAGGCGCCCGCGCTTGCAGCGGCCCCGGGTTGCCCAGGAAGGCCGCTTGCAGGCTCCAAGAGGGCCTGGGGGCCCAAGAGGGCTTTCTTCTTCTGGATGCTATTATTCCGCCCCAACATCTACACGTGACATTCTAAGAGACCGTTGCCACAGCTTATTAGGGTTCATTCGGCCTCGGATGGAGTTTGATTTGATTTGAGGAAGACCTCGGGTTCAAGGAGAGGGGTCGTGACCCCCCCTCCCCTTCGCGCCCCGAAAGCAGAGGGGTGACAGAGGACAGACAAAGGGAGCACCGCATCAGGCAAGCGTCTCACGCAGGCGAGTCCATCCAGAAGCGATGCTTCGCATGTATTTTCCGTCTCTCCACCGCCCCCCCTCTCGCGTTCGACGCTCGAGCCCACCTCGCGTGGGTGATCCGAATTTGACCTCTTGCGGGCCGCCTTCTTCTCATGGCTGGTCGCGCCTGGCACAGCGGGCTTATCAAATGGGGGCCTCAAGGGAGCACCGCTGTCAAGGCCTAAAGAAGACGAGCTGCAACGGCCAGTGCCCATGACGCGGACCCCACTGCGCCTCGCGCCAAGTGCCCAAAGATCTGGGGCCAGGGCTCTTAACAATGGAACAATATGAGATCAATGGCCCCCCAACCTCCCCCTTCCCTCTCCCCCCCCTGGGGCCCCTGAGCCCGGAGTCCCTGAGCCAGGCATAGCCTTGAGCCATTGGGGCCCAAGGGTTTCGCCCACCCCCCCCTCCTGGAGCCCCGGAGCCCCTGAGCCAGGCGTAGACCTTTTGGCTCGTGGCTCAACCTCTTCCGCTCCGCCCTCGCGTTGTCAAGGGCTTGTTGCGCGGCGATCCGTAGCTCGAGGTCTCTCTGGTCAACTGCGGGATGCCACCCCTCTGGACAACGCGGCCCAGTTGGAGTTGGGGGCGGGACAGGATAGGGCGGTTTTCAGGGGCATCGCCAACGCGCCAACCCCTTACCCCTTCCCCTAGCTCCAACCTGGCCGCGCCATCCAGCGCCGCCAAGAGGTCGGGATCGAAACCAGACTCGTTCTCCAGAATCGCGCGGTCTGAAGGGTCCATCGTTGCCCGGGTGCCGAAAGCATCTCCGATTTGGCGGGGTGACTGCGGCGGATATTTCCGAGCCTGAAAACCACGGGAGAACAGGCAAGTCAGGAGGGCGGATGAGGGATTACTCCGCTGACGTAGCCGACGATGACGGCGAGGACGACGGCGAAGACCACGAGAACGACGACGACGTGGCCAGGCTACCCCAACGAGCCCCACCAGCCCTCTGGGCGCAGGTGGTTTAGGGAGTTTCCTCTTCCACCCCCTTTGTTTCCCTTCGGGGAGGGGTTTACCCCTCCCCCCTACCCCCCCCCCCCTGGACTTGGACGGGGCCGGTCGCGAGCGGTCAGGGCGCCCAAAACGGCACCGGCGAGGAAGCCAAAATCATCGGTTTTACTATGGTTTGGGCTCCATTTTTTTCTCTCGAGGGGGAGGGGTTAATTAACTCCACCCTCTTCTTTGATCGATCGCTTCCAAGATGGCCCCGAAGGGCGCCCAGGAGGCCCCCAGAGGCTTCCAAGAGGCCTCCAAGAGGCCCCAAGAAGCCGCCATGAGGCCCAAAGAAGCCCCCAAGAGGCTCCAAGAGGCTCCCAGGATGGTTCCAAGAGCCTTCCAAGAGGCTCGAAGAGGCCGCCACGAAGCTCCAAGAGACCCCCAAGAGGCCCCAAGAGGCCTCCAACAGGCCCCAAAGAGCCCCCCAGGAGGATCACAAGCGGCCTCAAGAGGCCCCCCCGAAGCACCCAAGACGCCCAAGAGCCCCCATTGACCGCCAAGAGACCCCCAAGACGCCCGAAGAGGCTTCCAAAAGGCTTCCATGAGGCATCCGAGCGGCATTCAACCATCCACCCAGCGTCATCATTGTCCTCATCCCTCCTTCGCTCGGTTCTTCGCCACCCCCTCATCTATCCATCTGGCCTCCTCTTCCGCCTCATCCTTTGCACGGATCGGCTGTCCCTCCCGTTGCTCCCCCACTTCCATGATCTCTTCAACTTGCCTGGACATATCGTTTCTGGATGGGCTGGCGGGGATGCGCGAAGCGTCAAGAATTTCTCGACACCCCAAGATGGTGCCGTCAAGCTGCCCAAACGCAGCCCATGACGGCCTCCAAATGTGCCCCGAGACGGCCGGCGTTTGGCCTAACAGACATCCAAGACGATCCAACATGATGGCGAATCCCTCTCGGCGCGTGCTCGTGGGCACTTATGCGTCTCCATCGCCCTGGACGCGCCGTCGTCGTCGCCGTCGCCGTTGTTTCGCATGCTTGCCGTCGCCATTGTCGTCGTTATATTTCTGCACTTACTCCCTGCATGCTGCTACGCTTCCATGGTCAGCATCTTGCATCGCGTTGCTGGATGGGTTGCTGGGATACGTGATCACAATCATGGCGTTGGCCGTCATTGCTGATGCTTGGTTGTCTGATTGGATCCTGTATTTCGATATTTTCTTGACTCTCCTGATCATCCAGATCCTCCTGATCCTCCTCTCCCTCCTCTCCCTCCTCTCCCCATCCTCTCCCTCCTCACCCCCTCCTCTGTAATTGAGAGTCTGCGCGTTTCTCACAGTTCTGCGATTGCTCAGAGCTGGTGCACCAGCAGGCAAGTTAAGTTCAGGCGTCTGGGACGCAACATGGAGGGCAGACTGATGTGCCAGAGCATGGAAGGCAAGCGCAACTCGCTTGCGATAAAATATCAAGTTAAAACACACTCGGAAGAAAGCCCGAATAAGACACAGCACCACATATCATGATGCATGTCCGCAGGCATGAGATCTTGCCCACGGTTGGGCCACATGAGCTGAGCAACAGCAGCAATTGTTGGAGTCGGACTGAGATTATACTGAACTTGTATTTCGGGGGGCTTGGGTTGGAGAAGCTGGGGTGGCGGGGGTCTAAACAAACAACAACGCCTACTTATTAGACCACTGCGCCAGCAAGGCCTGCAAGTCCTCCGCTGGGCCTGCTACATCAGACGAGGCATCCGCCTTGCCTTTCACCTTCCCCGCCTCCCCAGCGGATCCCTCAGCTCCAGCAGCAGGGCTGCTTCCTGCTTCGGCCTCGGGGGTCTCGCTGCCCTTGGCCCTGGCCTTTGCCTTGGCCTTCGGGGTCGGCGTGCCCTCCAAGCTGGCCAGCATCGCGTCGACTGAGGACCCAAGCGCAGTCCTCTTCGCCTCGGGGCTGATGAGGTCTGAGTCGCCAGCGCTCCGCTTCCGCTGCATCTCGTACAGCTTGAGGCGCTCAGGCTTGCACTTCTCCAGGCGCTCGTCTTTGTCCGCTGGGAGGAACCTGCTTGATGCGGGCCCAGATTTCTGGATCTCGTCGAGCAGATGCGCACGCAAGACGTCGCTCAGCACTTTGACGTGAGCTTCGTTATGACACACGACTATCGATTTCACACTGAGCATGAACGCCGCCTTGATCATATGCCCAGCCCCCGGAGTGAAATTGATCAACACGCGGGCCCCGGCCTCCCACAGAAATTGAGCGCACACCTATGCGATGCAAGCCCCCATCAATCTTTAGCCAGACACCTCATCATCCTCATCTTCCTTATCCTCATCCTCCTCCTCTTCCTCCTTATCCTCGTCCTCCTTGTCATCCTCCTCATTCTCCTTCTCCGATCCCCCCCCCCCCCATTGTCTCGATGAGGAAAGGATGGGGGAGAGGGGGAGAAAGAGAAGGATTATGATAAGGAGGAGGAGAAGGAGAAGGAGAAAGGAGGAAGGAGGAGAAGAGGAGGAGGAGGAGGAGGAGTCAATGACGATGGGGCTTTGCAAATCCTCGCAGGCGCACCCTCAAGTGCAGCTCCATCCAGAACAGGACGACTAATGTGGCAGTGCCGCCGTTGATCGCCTCCAGGGGGTCAACTGCTGTATCTTCAGGTGCCTCGTCGTCGTCATCGTCGGACAGGTCCTGGCCCTTGGCCGCCTTCGCCCCAGGAGTCCACTTCTCCGAGCCGCACACGTGCTTGAAGACTGCCTCGCGGTCGGAATACGATACCTTTACCATGCTGTCCTTGGAGACCACGGGAATGCCAGCCATTGTCCAGAATGCCGTGTTCCCTGGGACGAATCGCCGAGGGACTCCTTTTTTCGAGTCCATGGCGCGCTTGGTCTTCATGATGTGCAGGTACTGGTCGGTGAGGTCCACGGTGCCAACTACGCTGCTCTCGACGCGGAGGTGTTGCGACACCTCGCCCTCGTCGGGCAGCATCTCCAACTCCTTGACCGCGAGCTTGGGCTTGCATTGCATCACCATCTTCTTTGCGTCACGATGGAATAGCTTGTTGCGGCCGCTGACGATCGCGGCGGAATCTGACTCATTGATGAACGACGCCACGATGTTGACCATCTGGTTGATGTGGTCCTCGTCTGGCGTTGCCTTCATGCGCCACGCAGATGCTTTGTTGTTGGGGTCCTTCGTGGAGTCGGTGCCCGCGTTGAAGAACCACAGGCGCGAAGCCCCTGCTGCAATCATCGGCTGCTTCTCGATGTCAGCCAAAAGGGTGCTTGACCACTTCATGAACACGACGTTGGCCTTCAAGAATTCGTCCGCCATTTTCGGTAGTTCGTTTGTTTTCTTGTCCTCGAGGACGTTTCTCAACGACTTGGCCTCGTCTTCGGTAATTAACCCGCTGGCCTCACAGCTCATAGCCACGTCAAACTCTTCGCGCTCACCCTGAACCGCGCGCTCCTTGGCCCTGCGCTCAGCCACGTCCACCTGGTAGAGCTGATCCAACTCGGGCAACATGTCCTTGATGAAGGGGACGGCCAGAGCAGTGGGGTGCCCGAGGAATGCCTGAAACTTCTTGTTGAGCATCGTAGGGAGCAGGATCTCTGAGTTCAGCTTCTCCGCAGTGCCCTCGCCAAGGATCGGGTAAGTGTGGCTGACATGTAACAATTCCTTGCCATCAAAGTCCAAACCTGATGGGTACTCCTTGCGGAATGTCTTCAGCGTCTTGTAGACGGACAGCACCGACTCGAACAGAGGATACCGTGGCAACAGTGAAGAAGGAACTTTCGTCATAATCAGGATGGCCTTGGCGGTCTCAGGGGCGTGCCTGCCGCTCGCCTTCACGTTGTATCCGCGCAGAAGCATGACATGATAAGTCTCCGCCAGCACGCGTAGGTCTCCAAGGTCTGGAACTGCGCTCTGAAATGCATCAAAAGACCTGCCCGTCTCCTGCATAGTAACATTCGGATGCTTGCGCCCCCAGATCTCCTCGTTGCGGTCGAAGTAGCACAGGGCCGAGTCCTTGTAGGCCGGGGCGCCGACGTCGGCAACTGCCATCGACAGGCGTCTGAGGATGCGGAGGTGCAGCCTGATGTTGTACAAGTTCATCGTAGTCTCCTTATGCGCCCAGGTGATGCCGCCAGAATTGAACAGCTCCTCGATCGCCGGGGGCGTGCTGCTCTGAGAATTCGAACGAAGAACTTCTTGGAGCCCTGCTAGCTCGCGCGCTCGGCCAAGGAGGGAGTGGCCCAACAACTCCGCATTCTTCTCTTCGTCCTCCTTATACTGGTATACCTTCAGCACGCGCTCGTTGTCATTGTTCCGCTTCGTGAACTTCATCGGGACTTGCATTGCCGCTTCCACGATCTTGGCGAGCTTCTCTTCTTTCTCCTGCACGTCGCGCAACAGCATGAGCCAGGCCAAATACAGCGAGCCCAGGCTATCGCGCTGCAACTTCCGCACCATCTCCGGCGCCAGGGTCTTGTAGAAGCTGACCTCGACGATGTGGCCAGGCGGTGGGAACGCGTAGCACCCTTTTTCCTGGTAGTAATGCTCGTACGCCTTCTCTACAGCACCCTCCAATGGCCACGCTGCTGGCAGGGTCATCGAGCACATGTTCAAGACCTGGCGGAATCACAAACACGAGACTAAAGGAGTGGACGGAGGGTTGGACGGAGTGCGGGGATGAGAAGGCGGCGAGAGAAAGGGGGGAGATGGGGGGGGAGAGGAACACCCTCTGCCCTTGCCTGCTCATTTCCTCCTGAGCTCGCTGTTTCCACCGCCTCCTCTTCCTTGTCTTCCACCTCTTTCTCTTCCTCCTCCCCCTCCTCCTCCGACTTCCTCGGCAACCATCCTTCTCATCATCTTCCTCTGCTCCTCCTCCTCCTCCTCCTCCTCATCCTCCTCCTCCGCCTTCTCCCTCTCCTCCACTTCTGTTTCGCATGTTTTGGGGTAGGTGATGGGTTTTGATGCACCGTGGCGACCCATATCGGCAGGGACATGGTGAAATCAGCATTCTTCTGCATGATGCTGTTCACCGCGTCATTCTGGACCCTCTTGAAGTTTCTCGCAGCCAGCGTCGCGAGGCTTGTCACCCACTCTGGTTCTTGGCGCACATGCGCAGGGCTCGTCTCATCCCCGTCGCCCCCCATGGCTGCGCAGAAGCAGGCAAATCTCGCGCAGAGCGACACCAACCTCATCGCTGAGCCGTAAAGCCTGCAACTACTGAAGGGGGGCCGGAGGGGCGGCCTGAGGGGGAGACTTGGGGGGACCTTAGCATGGGCCTTGGAAGGGGGACTGCCATGGCTGGGCCTTGGGGGGACTTCGTTGGCTGGGCCTTGGGCCTTAGTGCAGCCTGGCTAGACTTGCATGGACCTCGGAAGGGGGACTGCCACTGCCACTACTACTGCCACTGCTACTACTACTGTTACTGCCACTATTACTGTTACTGCCACTATTTCTAGGAGGTGGAGGGGACTGCCACTGCCACTACTACTGCTACTTCCATGTTCCTGCTACTGCCACCGCTATTGCTACTGTAAGAAATTGCTGCTGCTACTACTACTGCTACTGCTAGTGCTGCTGCCATTGTAGGTGTTAGAAGGGGCGGAGTCTGAAGCGCGCGTGGAGTCTGAACAGGAAAATCCTCACATTTATTACTATTATTATTATTGTTATTATTATTATTAGTATTATTATTATTATTCGTCTTTTTCTTAGTCTTGTTCATATTATTATTGTGAGCGGCAAGGGGAGCCAGGGGCCTCCAAGTAAGAAAATCATTAAAAAGTAACCCCAGAATAAGGCCAAAGTAACTTTTATATATGTTTGCAACCTAACGGAAATATAAGCATACAAGTAAGCCAACTGCAACAAGACCCTGGGCACGCGCCCAGCAGGAAAGCGCGACGCCCCTCCCGACGGAGGCGACAGCTAGTAGAGGGTACCATCCAGGGCCTGCTCAGCAAAATCAAACACCAGTCGAAATTATCATGCATTCGGTCGCGCCGAACATATGCATAACAAGACTTTGATAGGATACAGCGCACTCTAAGCCCATCTCGACCGCGCACCAACGGCCCCCGCGGCCAGAACTCCCAAACAAGCGGAGCCGTTCAAACGCGTTTGCCCACGAGGGCGCGGCTCGCGCCGCACTTCGTCGGCCCATCAGAAATCGATCGAACAAGTTCGGACCTCCTGCACGCCGCGGCCTCAGCGCCGATCGGGGGCGCCTCGGGGTCGGCGGCGGCGCCGCGCCCCGCAGGGGCCCATATATGGGGGCGAACGTCCCCAGACACCCAGCGAGCAAACCGCCCTCGCTCGCCCAGCAACTCCACTCCACATCCCCCCATTATCCTGCCCTTCTCCCCACGTCGTTCCGCCCCGCCCTCTGCCGCCGAACCCCCGCGAGCCTTCCGCGCTTCCCCGATCCTCCCGCCCTCCACCCTCCACTCCTCGATACAGCCACCCTGCTACGCTACAGTCGCAATCGTCGCGCTGTCGCCGCGGGAGGAATGGAGAGGCGGGGGGGCGGAGGAAGGGAGAGGCAGGGGGAAGATGACGGAGCAGGCCCCCGCGGGAGGAAGGGAGACACTGGGGGGAATGGCGGGGGAGGCGGAGAAGCGGATGAGACGAGCGAGCGGGGGATCGGAGGCAGAAACGAAACCGCGCTTGCTGTATCAACATCTCATGGGTAATAGACCGCCCAATCCTGGGCGGACGGCCTGCGCCCGAGTCACGGGCGACGCGCGAAAGGGCGCGGGGGGCTGCGCCGAGCAAATCTAGAGAGCATGGCACAACTGTCGCGTGATGACGCTCGCTGGCACTTTGAATCGCGAATATGTCGTAACATGCCCTTGGGCAGGGAGAGGGGCAATATTTGCTCGGCGCCTGCCGCGCCCCAGAACACAACTGCAAACCTGCGTGTCCGACCCCCACTGCCGACCGCCAAGAGGGCCTAGCTCGCCTTTTTCTGCAGGGCGCTCACAACCCTCGTCAGGATCAGCTAGTGGAAGGCGTCCTTCTCCTTGAGCTTCGTCTCCGCCCTCCACGCCTTGACCTCTGCGGCGACGACGTCGCGGAGGTCGTCGAGGCACATGTCGCTGCTGCACTTCTTCATGAGCACACCGTAGGCCTTCGTAGTGGCGCAGTCGCGCAGGACCTGGCCAGCGTTCATGGCGAGCGTGTCGTCCAGTGCCTTGCCAGCCATCGCGACTGAGTTCTTGTAGTTCGCCGTGGCCTGAGAGATTTTGTGTTTCATCAGGGGAGCTACCCGCCGCCCCTCCCCCGCCTCCCCCGTCGCCTCAAACCCGCCACCCTCGATCCTCATCATGTTAGTCACACTCCCCTGCTAACCCCTCCCACCCAACCAATCGTCGCCCACGAATGCAATACCCGCGAAATGTATTGCATGCATTTGCAAAACGTCAGCGGCCTCAAGGAGCTGGCACTTCAAGGTCGCCATCTGCTGCGGGCTGGTCTTGAGCACAGTCTCGTCGGCGTGCTTCTGCAGGTCCTTGAACGTATTCCCCTTGAACGTCTCCAGCCGCGACTCCGTCGGGTCCGTGGCGCCAGGAATGCCCGTTGCAACCAAGGCGAGATCTTGAATTGCAGTCTTCAGCACACGCTCGTCTGCGTTGGCCTGCTGGGCGGTCAGCTCGAGGACGAGACTCTTGACTTCCTTGCTGAAACCGGCCCACCTGTGGAAACGACGGGTATCCTTCTGCATGATGTTTTTGAGCTGCTCCTCCAGCGCCATAATGTGCCGCTGCATCGGGTCCATTTTGTTGCGGTAGTTGTCTGAAGCTGTGATGTCCTTCTTTAGCAGGTGCCCACCGTTGCCGTCACTCCAAAGGCTAATCCATGACCTCCTGGCCGTAAGATACACACCCAACATCTTCGCTTCCTCCTTCGCCATGTCGGAGCCCTCCACGGCGCCCATCTTGACGCTCAGGTCCATGCTGATGGCGAAGAACTCGTTGTCCAAATCAGACCTGCTGCAAATCTGCTGGGTGATGAAGTCGAACACGCCACCGACGCGCGCCTCGACAATGGGCCTCTGGTCGTCCTTCCACTTCATCGCCTGCGCAGGTTCTGGAATGGAGCCCCGAATGCGGTTCAGAGCGTCCATGGTCTCATCGGTCAGGTCGTTCTGCTCGGACAGGTTCAGATCATTGGCGTCACTGATATCGCGGAAGATGCGGGCGTTCATATTCTCCGCACTGACGCTGGCAAGCTTGGCAGCAACCGCGGCCCTCCAGTCCTCGATGCTAGCGTGGCCCGACATGCAGAGGCTCGCCTCCTCTATGGCCTTCGACCACTGTTGCATGGCAGCGTGGTCGCTGGTAGGTTCGGACTCCATGAACTCATGATGCTTCGCAAAGGCCGCGTAGAGGCTGTTCTGCAACTCGTCCAGAGATCCCGACCTAGGGCACTCGCGAGCCTCAGCAATGAATAGAGCTGCATCCTTGAGAGACGTACTGTTCGTCAGCGTGGGGGTCCTCCCGCCCGCAAGCATATCATTGTACTTGCGGAACATAGGGGCGTGCTCGATCATGCCTGGCAGCTTCGCCATGTACTCCGAGAGTCTGGCCTTGAACCACGTCTCATCGCTGACCGCAGCCGCCACCATTACCAAAGCAGTCTTGTGCGTCCGCCCCGTCGACTCCTTGATCTTCTGCACGGAATCCTCTGGACGTGCGGGCATGGCAGCAAAAGGGAAAAACACGAATTGCCGCTACGACCCAGGAACATCCCCTAGCTACCCCCAAGAAAATCAGACCCCATGGGCACTACCCCACCCAAGACAAGCACCACCCTCGTTACATATATTCTAAATGTTGGCGGAACGGCGGGGGCCTGGGAGGCCAGCCCAGGGGGGGACCGAATCAACGCCGCTCCAATCTGGCCAGATCGACGATACCGCTATCAAAAACCAAAGCCCGCTCAACACCACCCAGCACCTGCAATGATCTACGATGCCCCGCACCCTCGGAGACTGGGCCGAAGTGGCGGGCAAGTGGGCGCTGTCATACTCATGAGGTTTGGAGTTCACGGTCCTTCAAGTCCATATAAATCGTTGAAGTGGCCAGCGCCTTGATCCCCTCCCAGCAGTCCATCATGTCTCCCAATGCCCCGCTGGCTGTTCCGTCCAGCATGACCAGGTCAACGTTCTCGTAGGCATCAATGAACGTGTCCACCATATTCACCACGTGAGCCTTGTTCTCGACGCCGATCCTTATGGCGGGGACGAGGAGCTTCTCAATCAGCACGTGCACCATCACCGACATCTTGTGGTCCATATCCACTGGCAACGACACCAGCGTGGGGTTCAAGGGGTCGAAATCTGGGACTCTGGGACGGCAGAATCGTCCTTGGGCCAAGGTGTGATGCACTCGATTAGCTTGCCGAGGTCGCGGGTCTTCTCCAACTCAGCGAGGCTGAGGTTCAAGAGAGTCTCCTGGGCCACCAGGGGCCACTGGACGTCCTCGACAACCAGCAGCTTGATCAACTCATCCTTTTCGGCCTTGGTGTGCACGCGGATTTTGTCGGTCTGCAAGTTCTGGGCGGCAACCACGATCTTCAAGAAGATGTTGATAATGCTTGCATCAGTCGCGCTCGCGCCGCCCATCTGAGCGAGGCGGGACGCGGCCTTCTTCGCCGCCGAGATCGTCCTCCCATCCAGGGTGTTCTCGAGGACCCTCTCCAGGGGGATCTTCCTCTTCCAGTGCGTGAGGACGTCCAAGCAGCCTGGGGGGGAGGGCCATGACTATACAGGAGGTGGAGGTGGGAGGGATGAGGGGGGAGGACGTGGACGAGGTGGAGGGGGTGGTGAGAGGAGGGGAAGATGAGGTATGATGGGGATGGTGAGGGGGAGGAGGAGGAGGAGGATGTGGGAGTTCTCTCGAAACTCCTCCCCGTTTCCTCCACCCCATCCTCATCCTACATCCTCCTCATCCTGCTCCTCCCCCTCCTCGTCCCCTCGTCCTCCTCCATCATCCCTCCTCCTACACCCCCTCCCCCCCATCCCCCTTCTACCAGGGGGCAGCCCGACCATGCGCAACCCGTTTCTGCTAGCCCGAAAGCCTGCTGCGTGGGGCACGAGCGCCGCATCCGCCATGGTGTTCGCCTGACTCCCGCCGTCGTCATCCAC